CATTGTCGTTAAATAATAATCTAAAATGCTTAATTTGTAAATCTACAAAACATAGCAGTGTTTTATCTTTTTGAGATAAACTAGATCATTTTTGATTCTGTAATACTTGAGAATTATGAGTAAGTACGTAAAGTTCCTCTATCTTAATTGTGTAGTGATCAAGTATCATTTAGGAATTAACTATTGTAAGTTATAGGATTTTAGTAATTATCATTATCAAACATTAAAATTTTAAATCAATTCAGTATTAATTATTCATTAATGGATATAAATTTTAGTACTTAATTTATAATTGATTAAATAGGAAAAGTAATATTAGTAAATGTATAATTTAAAGGGAACATATTATTAAAAAACAAATAAGCAACTTCATTATCATTAATAAATATATATTCTCAATATAATTTAAATATTAAACTAAATAATTTTTAATTTACCCAAAACATAATAAATTAATAAATTGATGAACCTCTTGAAACATAAACTAATTTATTATATATAAGTTCATTAGATAGTTTTGTTTAAATTAATTAATTATATTGTTATTAAAATGCCTTAACTAATTCAACCAATTCATTCATTACTGTTACTGCTACTTTGATTGAAATTTCTAATTTAATATTTATGAATTCAAATGTTTTACCATAGTCTTTATGGCAACAATTTTATGATTTTGAATTAGAAGATTAATATAATTAACAAGAAATTAACTCAATTATTCAATCAACATTTAAAATATTAAATTAAGGAATTTTTATTGTAGCTTCTACTTTTAGTTGTACAGATAGTTTATTTTAAGATAATATTGCTTTTAAAAGTTCTATTTTTTCAATTAAAACTCAAGGATAAGGGATAATCAAAATGCATAATATCTAAATAGATTCTGTTTATACTAATCTAAAAGATAGTGGAAGTACAGGTTGTATAAGTATAGATTCAACAAATAGTCTTTTAAATTTTGAGCTGAAATAAATAAAATTTACAAACATATTTAATAGAATGGCTGCATCATTATTTACTATAATTCCCTCTTTAAAATCAAATATTATTCGTTTAAATAATATTGAAATAACAAATTGTCTTTCATTAATGAATACAATTATGTTAGTTCAATTTTCAGCATAAGTTATGCAATAAAGTTTAGTAAGTATTAAAAATATATCAATTTATTCAAATGAAGAATAATGGATTTAATTATTTTCCTTGATTGGTCCAATAACATTATCAGAATTAAATAATATATTAAGCGAATAAAATGCTATGTTTTCTTTTGAAAATTGTAAAATTGAAATAATTAATCTTTATGTTGAAGGAATAGCAATCTCTCCAATTATCAAATCTTAAAATGCTTATACTATAAAACTATTAGATTGTAAATTATTATCTATTTAAAAATTATATTCATTCGACCTTATACATATAACTTAAACTTTAATAACTGAATCAAATATATCTATTGAAAAACTAAAGATAATTTAGAGTAATACATATCAACCAAAATCTGAAGGAATTCCTATATTTTCAGATTTGAATTATAAAATTGGAGGATGCATTTTGTAGAAGATATTAACATAATAAATTATTCCTTCAGAAATTATCAGCCAGTTATAATCTTCTAATTAGTAATCAAATCATATGATGTATTTGAAAAGTATTTCAGACGAAAATTCACTTATTTTTTAAGAGATAGAAATAATTAAAAATAATGGATCAGACTTTACTGATGGAATAATAACTTTTGAAATTGAACAATTTTAAATTTTAAAAATAAATAATATGTTTTGCTATTAGAATAGTGTGAAATTACATGGTTGCATTTATTTTTTTATCTAAAATTTTATTAATAAAACCATCATATTCAAAGATTCATATTTTATTTAGAATAATGGAAGTTATGGAGGGGCTATATTAATTTAAAATGTTAAATTAAGGATGAAAAATTGTAAAATTATATCTAATTATGCAAGTATAAATGGTGGAGGATTGATTTTATAACTAAAAGATACTGATTTTTAAATTGAATCAACAATAATTACTAATAATTAGGCTTTAGATGGAGGAGGCATTTATTTCAACTAGGATGGATCTATACACCATTCTAATTTTATAAAATCCTTTTTATAATTTAATAAGGCAGTATAATTTGGAGATAATCTTATTGAATCTCCTCATCATTTAGCATTGCTTATCAATAATATGGAAATGTAGTCAAAAAAAATTAACAATAATCAGATACATAATCATCGTTTAGTGCTCAAACCCTATAAAATTATTGAATAAGGAATTCCTTTTTTTACATAATATTTAATGATCCCTAGTTATTAAGTTATTAATTAATATCAAATTTATTCACCCTTTAAGATTCAATATTTTTCATATATTATAAATTTCGGTGTAGTGCTAAAGAATAGTTTAAATGAATAACTTCCAAATATTCTTAATACGAAGTGCATTCTTATGAATAAAACTATTTATGAAGAAAGCTCAAATTAGGTGAGTGAGCATAAAGAACAAATAATTTTGTAATTTGATCAAGAAAAGGATTACTATGATTTAGGATCTCTTTCTTTCATTCTTGATCCTTATAATTAAGAAAATAAATTATTATAAATTGAGATTAGCTGTTAATCATCTTAGCAAGAGAATAGTTTGAATTATGTGATATAAGCAAAAAGTTTGAAATGCTAACTTGGAGAATTTTATGTTAATTCTGGATGTTAAATTTGCTCATCAAGTTAAGGGTTTTACTCTGTAGTATATGATGCAACTAAATGTTCAATATTTGATAAAACCAAATTTAAGAATATAACTGAAAATAACATAGAATTAATTGAAGGTTTTTGGAGACCTAATTATTTATCAGATTAAATAGAGGAATGTTTTAAGAATTTTTAATTTTGTAAAGGTGGTTGGGGATAAGGAAATTAAATATGTGATTTAGGACATATTGGAGCATTGTGTGAAGAATGCGATATTTATAATATAAGAGGAGATGGAAAATATTTTAAAAATCAATAGGATTCATATTGTATATCTTGTTTTGGTGTTTAGGATAGTATAATCCCATTTATAGCAGCATCAATTTGGTAATTTCAATTAATATTTAGGTCGTTTATATCAATCATTATAACCTTAAGAAGTATTGAATAGTCTAATCTACTATTCAAAAGTTTAAAATTATAATAAAGATTCAGCAAAATTATTTTTAATCTTGAATAAGGTATATAAATCAATTATTTTAAGGGCATGAAAGTTTTTTAATAAAAATGTTATTAAATTATTTATGGATATTCTCTGTTATATTTACATTCAATATACAATTCTCGTTTTCATTCACTTTTGTTGATTCAGCCAGTAATACTTCTTACTCGATGACAAATAATTTAGATTGTTATTTATCTGAAAATCAATCAATAAAATTGATTTACTCTAAAATTATCACTATGCTTGTACTCATGACATTCTAATTTATACTTATAATTATGGGATTTCTTATTTATAATTGGTATAAAAAGATTGGATTGAGTAATTTCAACTTGGAAACTATTTCTAATAGTCTACTCTACCTTTATGTTTCTAATTATGGTGGATTGGTTAAAATGTAATTTAAATCTTAATTTCTTTTAGGTATTTCTCTATTGTTTCAAAAAGAGATGTTTCAAGTTAGAGTTACATACAAGGTGATGTCTCTCTCCTTTTTGGATCTCAAGAACATTTAATTTGGATTTTCTCATTTGTTATTCCAGGAATAGGAGTTTTTAGTTTGATTATTCCTCTTTCCCTTTTTATTGTAATGTACATTAAAAAAGATTAACATGATAATATTAAAATAAGAAAACATTTTTGCTATTTAATTAATGAATACAATGATAGAAGTTATTTTTGGGAAGTAATAAAGTTAATCAAAAAAACAATTATTATTCTAATATTAACATATTTTGAAACTTTTATTCTATTAAAAGCCTCATTGTTGGGATTATGTTTACTCTTTTATTAGGTATTAGCTTTTAATAAGAAACCATATATACTTTCCAATTTCAATAGCATGGATTTATCTTCAGCATAAATTTGCTCTATTACAATATTCCTTGCTGCTGCTAAATATGTATCAGAACAAGAAAACAATTAGTTTTCATCCATTATACTCTAGACAATTATTGTTCTTCTTTGTATTAAACTTTGCTATTCATTTATTAAGAGCATATTAGAAGCTTATTCTAATAAGTACTCTAATTTAGTATTAAATTATTTACATTTAATTTTGGAAAAGATTTCATCAGATTCAATGTTAACAAAAAAGTTATAAAACTTTATATAAAAATCAAATTAAAGAAATAAGAGATTGAAAATATTGGTTAGTAAACTTAGATAGCACCTGTTGAAGATTTCTAAAGTCCAAATTCAAACTCAAAGAAAAATGATGAACTCTTAGAGCAAATAAACTTAATCCTAAGGGTCTGAATAAAAATACCTTTTAAAGATAGATACAGAATGATTTTTTTGAAATCTAAATGAATCCATTTTATCTTTATATAGAGAATTTTGCAATAAATATATAATTAATTATAGTTATATTTTTAATAAAGTCCCTATTTACAATATTAATATTTAAAAAATTAAAAAAATAACTGATTTTAGATTCAATCTTTATTGATTATATAATATGCATATTAACTTTTATTAGTTTCGGCTTTTCAAAGTTATTAATTTTCTTCCTTCATTTTTATACTTTTTGATTAATATCAATGGAATAATTTAATTAATTAAGTTGATTACTATCATAATTGCCTATGTTTTTTAAACATAACCCTATTAAAAACATTAAGATAAACAATTACAACAAATATATATTTATTCTTTTTATTTGATTATAAAATGGATGTAGAGAACATCAACTTATTAAATAGGGATGGTAATTCAAAATATGTCCAAAATTTATTCATAAAAAATCTGCTGTTTTAATTTTAAGTAGTAAATTATATTTGAAAATAAATAAAATAATGTAATCAGAACTTGAGATTTAGGCAGTGATAGGATTCACAGGTATATAAAATTGATATATTATAAGGGAAAATAATTCAAGGGTTAGTTTTACATCCAGATAATGAGGTATGATATAATTAATAGTTCAAAGCATATTCTTTATCCATTAGGTTCTACTATAGTAGTTAGACATATAATTACAAGACAATAAACATTTTTAAGGTATGGAAATGTGATATATTAAATTAGAGGACATGATAATTAGATCTCTGTAATAACAGTTTCCAGAAGTGGAGATTATGTTGCATCTGGATAGAAAACATATATGGGGTTTTAAGCTGATATAATAATTTGGGATTTCAAGGATAGAAGCATGATTCATAGATTGAAATTACATAAGGTGTTGATTCAGTCTCTCAGTTTTTCATTCAATGAATTATATTTGGCATCATTAGGAGGAATTGATGATAAAAATATGTTAATTATTTGGGATATTAAGGCAGGGAAGGCTTTATATGGAACTCCAAATAGAGATCCTGTTAATTAAGTCTAGTTTTACAATTAATCAGATGAAAAGATGATTGCAGTTTTAAATACTGGAGTTTAGATTTTAACAATAGACAAATAAAATAAAAAGGTATGATGTATTGCTTTTATAAAGATTCAATCTGTANATATAATTAATTATAGTTATATTTTTAATAAAGTCCCTATTTACAATATTAATATTTAAAAAATTAAAAAAATAACTGATTTTAGATTCAATCTTTATTGATTATATAATATGCATATTAACTTTTATTAGTTTCGGCTTTTCAAAGTTATTAATTTTCTTCCTTCATTTTTATACTTTTTGATTAATATCAATGGAATAATTTAATTAATTAAGTTGATTACTATCATAATTGCCTATGTTTTTTAAACATAACCCTATTAAAAACATTAAGATAAACAATTACAACAAATATATATTTATTCTTTTTATTTGATTATAAAATGGATGTAGAGAACATCAACTTATTAAATAGGGATGGTAATTCAAAATATGTCCAAAATTTATTCATAAAAAATCTGCTGTTTTAATTTTAAGTAGTAAATTATATTTGAAAATAAATAAAATAATGTAATCAGAACTTGAGATTTAGGCAGTGATAGGATTCACAGGTATATAAAATTGATATATTATAAGGGAAAATAATTCAAGGGTTAGTTTTACATCCAGATAATGAGGTATGATATAATTAATAGTTCAAAGCATATTCTTTATCCATTAGGTTCTACTATAGTAGTTAGACATATAATTACAAGACAATAAACATTTTTAAGGTATGGAAATGTGATATATTAAATTAGAGGACATGATAATTAGATCTCTGTAATAACAGTTTCCAGAAGTGGAGATTATGTTGCATCTGGATAGAAAACATATATGGGGTTTTAAGCTGATATAATAATTTGGGATTTCAAGGATAGAAGCATGATTCATAGATTGAAATTACATAAGGTGTTGATTCAGTCTCTCAGTTTTTCATTCAATGAATTATATTTGGCATCATTAGGAGGAATTGATGATAAAAATATGTTAATTATTTGGGATATTAAGGCAGGGAAGGCTTTATATGGAACTCCAAATAGAGATCCTGTTAATTAAGTCTAGTTTTACAATTAATCAGATGAAAAGATGATTGCAGTTTTAAATACTGGAGTTTAGATTTTAACAATAGACAAATAAAATAAAAAGGTATGATGTATTGCTTTTATAAAGATTCAATCTGTAGATGTTAATTTTGGAAATGTCAAAAGAACCTTTAATTGTGTTGCAATAGATAAAAATGATAAATTTTGTTATTGTGGAACAAAGACTGGTGATGTATTTGAAATTTAAATGGATATGGCTATATATAAAAGATTAGCTCCAGTCAAGAAGCTATTTTCATAAGGAGTTAATTGTTTAGGATTATTGTAAAATGGAGATATAATTGTTGGAGCAGGAGATGGTATGATAGCAAAAGTGTCTTTTTAAACAATGTAAATAGTAGCAAGTAGTGAATTACTTGGAGGTGTGACATCTATATCATTTACAAATGATTAGACTCATTTTTTCACAGGAACAGTTCAAAGTAATATATATTGGTTGGACACTGAAAAATTAATACCAGAATTAAGAAATACTTGTCATTATGAAAGAATTAATGATGTTGCTTTTCCTCATAATTATTCTGATGTATTTGCTACTAGTTCTTTAAATGATATCAGAGTTTGGAATGCTAAGAATAGATAAGAATTACTTAGAATATAAGTTCCAAATCTAGAATGTTGGGCAGTTGCCTTTATGAATGATGGTAAAAGTATTGTAAGTGGTTGGAGTGATGGAAAAATTCGAACCTTTTTACCATAATCAGGTAGATTGCTCTATGTAATTAATGATGCACATATACATGGGTGTACATCATTAACTTGTACTTCAGATTGTTAAAGAATTATTTCAGGGGGATCAGAAGGAGAAGTAAGAGTTTGGGAAATTGGAAAGTAAACTTAAGTTATGAAATCTTCAATGAAAGAGCATAGAGGAAGAGTGTGGTCAATTTAGGTTAGGAGAAATAATGAGTAAGCTGTTAGTGCTAGTGCAGATGGATCTTGTATTATTTGGGATCTTAAATCATTTACCAGAGTTATGTGTTTATTTGAAAGTACCTTATTCAAAATGGTTTTGTATCATCCTGAAGAGAGTTAGTTATTGACTACTGGTAGTGATAGAAAAGTATCTTATCATATTATTAAAGATCACTTATTGGGAAACTTTTGATGGTTAAGCTATCAGAATGTTAGATGGATCTGAGGAAGGAGAAGTTAATGCATTGGCAATTACAAAGGAAGGAGAGCATTTCGTATCAGGAGGAGAAGATAAGGAAGTTAAATTATGGGGATATGATGAAGGAATCTGTTATTTTAAAGGTTAAGGACATTCAGGTACTATAACAAGAGTATTTATTAATTTTAAATTAGATTACTATAAGTCCTGATTAAAAAACTATTATATCAGTTGGAGCTGAAGGAGCTATATTTATATGGAAAATGCCTGAATCTGTTATAAACTCTAAAGCATAATAAGAATTACCTACTGTTTAAAATGTAAAAAAGTAAAATGACATTCAATAGTAATAATAATAATAATCCTAATAATAATCAATACCAAAAGATGCATAATCATAAAAATCTAATTAAATTGCTAAATCAGTCAAGTCAGGAACAAAATAATCAAAAAAATGATAGAAATTCATTTCCATTCATTATAAAAGCCATAAATATTATATTTTTTTTTATTTTATTTTTGAAAATAAACTCAAAAATTATATGCAATAAAATTATATTAATAATCATTTTAAATCTTATCTAAATTAAGACCCATTTTTATCATTCTAATTAAATTATGAACCAGGATTTTCATTCTATTTAAGTAAAACACCAATATTCTTATTGCTATGTAAAAATTAATCCACTTAAGAAGGTTAATTTGAATGATAAGATTCAACCATTTTAAATTAACTATTTGTATTTGAAGTCTACTATTTTTTTTTATTTTTTTATTTGTTATTCTAGTTTTACTATTAATTTGTAATTCCTTATCCCTATTAACCAAATTCTTCAAAATATTTTTTTACTGCTTCATTTATTTTATTACTGATTAAATCTATGTCATCCTTATTTAGATTTTATGAATGAAGATTTTCTTAAATTTTAATCTTTATAGTATCTGTTAAATTGGTTATATCTGTATGATTTTTTATAAATTAAGTAAACTGCATTTATTCTTACTTAATATTTTTGACCTTATTTGTACGAGCAACAAGGTATCGTGTTTTATCAATAAGGGTATTTTATATATCATTTTCAAATTTTAATTCACATTCTAATTTCGCTTCGAAAGTTTCACCTTTAGGTGGAATGTTACAAGTATAACAGCATTTTTAAATAATTGAAAAAAAACCTAAAATAAGATATATAATAGACAAATATCCTAAAATTCCAATCAATATATAGCCAGAATAATTATAATATGACTCAATTGATATAAAAGTATAAAATAGAATAAAATTAATAGATAATTGTGTTCCAAGCTTTTTTTTTTAATTAATTCTCTAAATAACTGAATTAGAATGTTTAGGTAATTAAAGGAATTGCCAAAAATATGATAACAATGAAAATTTAAAAATACTCTAAAATATTCCTAATCTTCTCATAATTAAATGGTATAATAATACCAACAATGCCAATATTATCAATATTATTTGAAATTCAGATTATTAATTAAGTAGTATTTCACCATGTATTAAGATTATATTAATAAAAATAAAGACAAAAATTCCAAAATCTAAATAATTTTAAATTTCAATTAAAATGTTAACATAAAAACTTATATATTTTAACTAAGGGAATTGATATAAAAAATACAATTCACCCTAAGTTAATAATTCCTTATTCATAGAATATGTGGCATTTTTAACATATTCATCTTCTTAAACTTCAACATTAATTAAATATCGTTGAGCTTGGTTTTGTGTATATAACACATCAATATTTTCAGAATCTACTGAAATCTTAAAATCAAAACATTATTAGTTGTTATTCTTTTATCCCATTATTGCAATTTCTTAATTTTAATTTTTTTGAATTATTTTATCTTTAAAATGATATAATTAAGTTAATAAAAGAAATAGGATGACATTAACAGCATACATAATGGGTAGAATAACAGCTATTGCTGTATATCCAACAGATTAACCAAAAAAATTATAGATAACTTAGTAAGGACATTAAAATGAGAAAAAGAAACCTAAAATTAAATTAAGAAAATTGATTTACATACTGAAATTGCAAAATAATTGTTAAGAAATAAGACTTTTGATATAAACCATTAGAATACATTTCCAGACAAACTAAATCTGCATTTTCTCAATTAATGGTTGATGTTTTAATTGATTTCACAAAATTAATTAAATACTGTTTCAAATTAATTCTATTTGAATTTTTATTCACTAATGTATTTTGTGATAATCTTTAATTGCTTATTAGAATCTTCAAACATAAGTTTAGGTAAAATAGCATTATATCCAACTACCCATGTATTAGAGAACTGTTCTTTCAGAAGCTTATTAATATAATTATCTACACAATTTTCTATTCTTTCCCATTTGTAAATACAAGAGAGTGGATCATGAAATTATTTGATTTTATACATATTATCTAGATTAAGAGCAATATCTGTAAAATCTCCAAGAAAATTATATTATAAACTTCCATCATATATAATTTTCTTTAAACATTAAATTCCAAAATACATTTCTTCTTTCTCCAAAATTTGAAAAAGTTATAATATATTTAAATTATCAAGATATGTTTAATTACTAGATTTAATCTCAGCAAATTTTGGCTATATAAATTTTAGAATTCCTTAATAAATCCATTTAATTAAATCCAACTTATTTAATTCTTAAGGAAAAACAAAATAATATCCATTTTATCCTTCTATCTGGAAATATAAACTATGGTAATTCGATGTCATAAATTTTTAATGAAATGCATGATATTAGTTTTAATAAAAATCTAAAAATAATTCCTACTTTGATTTCATTAACTACTTAAATGCTGTTTTACCATTTATTAATATAATTGGATTTATTTTTATGTCTTCTTTATTATAATAATTTATTTATTTAGTTAAATCCGAATAGCTTTCTCCTGAATATATTAATATTGACACATTTGATCCTTGATTATCTGAATTTATCTATTTGTTGCTAATATATTTCTAATACAATTAATTATCTTCATGACAAAAATTTTTGTAAAATTCATATTATCCTTCATTTATTTAGAGTTACTTAGGACCAAAAACAAAATCTGGTAGAATATTTCCAATATTTTAAGTAATCTTCATTGTTTATTCAAGTTTTTATTCGTTTAATTCTATAAGTTTTTTCATTTAGTCTATTTTTTTCTAAAGTTAAATTTGTTGATGTTTAGAAATGATTCTAGTGAGATCTACTTTGTCTACTGTTAATGGTTAAATTAGATATTATTTAGTATTAGTATCATCAATTTCTATTTGTAAAGGAATTTCCTCTTTATCATCAAAAATAATAATACAAGTCTTTTCTAAACTCATTTTAAAATAATTAATATAATTTTTATTTTTAAACTATTAAATATTAATCATAAGATGATAGACGGGGTGATCAAATACATCATTTTTTTTAAATAGAATATATTGACAAATTATATATATAAAAAATATCTTATGAGTTGACTTTTTTATCTTTTAATATAATACAATGACTCTTAAACAATGTAACGAAGTCTATTGTTTAAAATTCAAAATATAATTTAAATCTAGGTTAATAAGTTCTTTATTATCTCATAATCAAATATTATTAACGATTATGCTAATATCATTTAAAATTAATTATTCTCATTATGAATAGGATATCTCTTCATTATTATAATTATTAAGCCTCTACTCAAAATTTATTTAAGAAATAACTCATCTATTTTTAATAATTTATTAGTTATAGAATTTATATAATATTTTGTTTTATTCTCTCTTTTTTTAATTGAATATTATAAGGAGAATACGGATAAACACAAATATTATCATTAGCCTTTTTGTATTTCCAAATATATTCTTTATGAGTAAAAATGATTATCAAAAATTAAATATTTAGTTTAATTATGTGTATAATTATAAAATAATAATAATATATTAATAATAAAAAATAATGGCAGAATAACTAAAATTTACACATCCCTTTCCTAAATTGTTATTTGATGACAGTCACATTCAATTTAAAAAATACTCTAAATATATTATAGATACAGATGCTGGATCAGATGATGCTCATGCAATCCTTATTGCCTCTTATATTCTTAAATATATACGAACTGATGCAGAATTAATAGGAATAACAGCAGTGGCAGGTAATGCAGCACTTGAAAATGTGATAAAAAATGTATTTAATCTAATTTAATAATCTTAGGTATATATAACAACAAGGATTGGACATTTTGGTGAGAATCCTCCAAAAATATACAAAGGATGTAGAACAGATACATTAAGAAGATTTTATAGAGATAATTACTTTTTGGAAGATGGATTAGGTGGATAATAATTAAGATTATTAACTGAATTAGGTTTATAAGATAAACCATTAGAATATTTTCATGAAAAATAACATGCTTGTGATTTCATTAAAGATTCTATTTACAAATATGGAGAGGAATTATGTATTATTTGTATTGGTCCTATGACTAATATTTATTTAACATTATAAATGTATCCAGACATTGTTGATAAACTTGGATGTTTATTTGCTATGGGAGGAACATATATGGGAGTAGGAAATGCAGCTAATTCAGTTGCTGAATTTAATGTACAAACAGATGTAGAAGCTACAGCAGCAGTAGCTATGGCAAAGTTTAAATAAAAGATGTTATTGCCATTTGATGTTGTATTAGCTTACACTTTAGATAAATAGAATGGAAAAGTCATTTTTGAGAATGGAGCTAATACAAAGAAATCTCAATTTGTTGAAAGTATTTTCAAAGCTGTAAGTCATGATGGAAATTACATACTTTGTGATGGTATATTCAATTTAAAATATCTATTATAGAATTGGCTGTAATGGTAGCATTAGTACCAAGTTTGATAATATATTCTTTATAAAAGAATATATCTATTGTCTCTGATGGATAGGCAAGAGGATAAGTTATCATAGATTGGTTAACATTGATGAGAGGAAATCAAAAATCAGTAGTCAGTATTCTAACAGCTTTTGAATGGAATTCGGTTATTGAAATAGCTACTAAAGCTAATTAAGATCAACAATGATATATAAAGATCAAATATTTACATTTATATCTGAATTTTATTTTTGTTAGGCTGCCTAACTAGTTTATGGATAGGATAAAAAAGGATACATCATTAAATAAATTAGAATAAGACCCAATTCTAAACAACTCTACAAACAAAATTAAAAGAAAAATGATTATTTTGTTTAATGCATAGTATGGTATCATAAAACTTACAATACTATTATCACTGACATATTATTCTTAAGATATATTTAAGAAAAATTCAAGTTTATAGAATTGAACTAATAAAAATGAAAAAGAAATAATTTCTTTAATTTCCATTAAATTTCATATATAATTTTGTTGTATCTTACAAAGATTCCTTTAATTAATCTTAATCAATACAGTCTTTTAATAAATAATGTTATAAAATACTTATAAATCATCAAAAT